TGCTCTAGGGCCTGCGGGAGCTGTGTCTGGAGCAGCAAGAATCAAGGCACAAGAGTGTGGGGAGGGCCTCCCCGGTGGCGCAGCGGTTGAGCGCTGGGTTGCGAAGGTGCCCGCGGCCTCTGCGGCACCGGTTCGATCCCCGGCTGCTCCCCGGCCACCAGAGGAGGGTCCCACATGGCGCGCAGACCTCTCCTGCCGCCTGCTGCTCCCCTCAGCAGTGTACTTCGTCAGTCTGCCTGCTCTGCTCCCCGCTCTGGCTCTGGTGAATTCTCTCGCCCTCCCGCGCTTCTGACTGTACCCAGTGCTTGTATAAACAAAACAAAACAAACAAATAAATAAATAAAACATGCCTCTATTAAAAAAAAAAATGAGTGTGGGGAGCAGAGACATGCGGTGCCTGGCAGCCCTTGCTTCGACACCACTCTGAACCACACACATGCATGCACGCACGCACGCACTCACGCACCAGGAATGAAGGACTCGTCTCTCTCTCTGTCACCAGATAAGCACTCCTATTTCCTTTAGTTACCCTCCAGGCTTAACAAATTTTGTTTTCTTACATTCCAAGGGAAAAGAGCATCACTAAGAAGCTACTCAAGCTTGGTGACCAGAGAGAAGCAGCCTGGGGGGTCTTAGCAACAACATCTTACTCATTTCTGGTATGCAACTTAGTTCCTGGTGTGGCTCTTGCGTCATGTTAGACCATGTACCGCCATGAGGCAGGATGGACCTGGGGGGGGGGGTCCTGTGACTACTGACCCTTTACTCACCCCTTGGTGTGCAACTATACGGCCACCTCTTGGTATGTAGCCACGTCCTATCTGACCACGTACAGCTACCAATGCAAACCCACCTGGAACCTTGTGGAAACTGAAAGTGTAGATAAGCCCTGACTTCCTGCAGACGGGGCTCAGCCTTGGGACGCGAATCCACTGAGTCAGCACCGGTGCACTAAACCTGCTTCTCGTCAGCCCTGGTGTCCATGTTTCCTTTGGGCCGTGTAACAGTTCATCTGAATCGCCGACCACCAGGTGACAGCGAAAGCAAGCTGGCAGCAGCCAAAGCCTCTAGGTTTTGCCAGAATGGACAGGCTGACCCTCGCCCACACCCCACTTCCACTCCCTTGTAACTCTGGATAAACACTTCTGTCTCTGCCAAAGAGCAGGACGGTGGTCGTTCAGACACGAGACTCCTGCCCTCCTCAATTTGTCGACAAATTAAACTACTTTCCTTCTCCTCAAACTCTGTCTCCTTTTATTGGCTGAGGGAAACCAAGACTGGAATTCGGTATCAAATTGGCAAGCCAGCCAGGAGACACACACCCCCCGGCCCTGGCACTCCGAGTCTGTGAGGGGAATGACAGCCCCGTGATCTCAGAATTATCTGGGCGTCATCCTTCCGTCGTCCTGAGCAAGAGCTCCTCGGATGTGCGGAGATGGCTGAGCCACACTAAGTTCCCACCCCTTGGTCACTGGGCCACTCGGCGCTCTCTGCCAAGCTCGCGTCCTATTCGTAGCAATATGGCGAAGCTGAGAACTTAACGAAGCTTTAAGGTCTGTGTTGCGTGGACAGCACCATACTGACCAATGGGAGTCGTGGAGCAAGCTGTGCAATGCAGGACGCCTTGGCCTTTATTGATAGAATAATACAGCGTCAATCAGGTGGGATAGGAGAACAAGGAAAAAGCATGGGTGAAATTGAACAAATGTGCATATGAATCTAGGGTTTCAAGGGGAGTCTGCTGACAAAGTATTTTTTATCTGCTTGATCACTCGGTATTGAGATGGAAACCATACCCCAGGCCTCCTCCTCATGGTTCCAATCTTACTGACAAAGCATTCCGCTGACCAGTCTCTGGGAGGGCAGGGTCATGCATCAGTCAATGGCCCCCTGGGCAAGCATACCCATTGTTCCAGGAGGATCAAGCATCCTGCTCCTGTTAAATTTGAAAAGAGCCTTATAGGGCCTGGCATCCAAGTTCTTTGAGATAACCAATTGACCAGTGTGACTGGCCTTGTATTTGAATGCAGAACTGCACGTAATGAAGATGGTGACTGAACAGGCTGTTTAAGTTGAGCAGATGCCCAGTTCCAGTTCCTTGTAGCTTACCAATTCCATCTTGAAGTTAAGTCTCTCCTCTTGCCTGTTTCTGCAAGCGCTTAGGGGGAGCCAGGCCACACCTCAACCCTATCTTAGAGATCACCTCTACATATCCTATTTCATGGCTCTACCTTCCATAAAACACTAGAATGGGGCAACTCAGACATAACAGGGATGGCCTTCCCTCCATGATCAGTAAACAAGCTCCTCATTTCCAGCCGAGAACTCATCAGACGGTCTCTCATCCATATTTCTCCCAACGTGCTATTTACTAGGTGTCCTCTGATGAGGTTTTTTCGAGTGCTGGGTCCTTGGATTCACTATGGGAAGGGTTTCACGGGAGGTCCCGTTTTGGTGTCATGCGATGAGTTTCTCCACCAGACAACGACAGTAGCTATATTTAAAGAGCAGGTTTAGGGCCTCCCTGGTGGCGCAAGGGGTTAAGACGCAACCTATGAAGCTGTCCACGGTCTCTCCAGCACGAGTTCCATCCCCGGCCAGCCAGGGCGCTACCCATATGGTGCAGCAGACCTCTCCTAACTCGCCCGCTGCTCCCCTCAGTGGTGTGCTTCTGTCAGTCTGCCTGTTCTGTTCCCCGCTCTGTTTCTGGTGGGTCCTCTCACCCCCCACACCTCTGGCCTGTGCCCCAGCTCTTGCATGCATGCATAAATAAATGAATCTTTAATAAACAAACAAACAAACAAATAAATAAATGGCAGGTTTATTAGAAAAGGGATAGGACAGTAAAAGACACTTGCATAGACACAAGCGGGCAGGAAGAGCTGCCCTGAAAGGGACAGGTTTGCTGAGAGAGGCCTGCATGGTCGCAGGCGGGCGGCCTGGAAAAGAGCTGCCTCCCCTGAGGGAGGTCAGTGGAGAGAAGCCCGGGCAGGTACAGGTCACGGCAGGCAGGAAGCTGCTGCCCTGCAGAGAGGAGAGAGTTGGTGAAAAGAAGCACCTGCATAGTCACAGGGGGGCCGTGGGAGCGCTGCCCCAGCCTGTGCAGAGACTGCACGGATACAGCCCTCTCCTGTTTGGGAGGGGTCACTCCTTGTGAGCCTTCGGTTTGTTGCTGATTTTGGTTAACTACGCAGAGTCCAAAAGGGGCCGGAGATTCCAGGATGGGCCCAATCGCTCTAGCTTTACCTTCAGGTCTGTGCTTCAGACACTTCCTACAGCATCTGCTATCTGCTTGGGCTTTATGCCTTGTGATAAAAGGATCTTGATTTCTATAGCTTGGGTCATGGTCACGTTACTCCCGTCTACCCCAGCCTCCTGTGTGAGTCAGGCTTTAGACTTGTGAGGCCTCCGTTCCAGTTTTTTTCACTCTTGTGAAAAAAGAGGCATCATCCTCCAGCAGACTGAGGCTTTCTTTACACCGTTCTCTTTTTCCTTCCGATTCTCACCAGAGTCACCTTTAAGTCTGTTCACAACAGAGGCTTTTCCTAGCCTGCACCTCCAAACTCTCCTAGCCTCGCCCATCCCCCACTTCCAAGGCTGCTTCCCCATTTTTAGGTGTTACAGCTGCACCCACTTCTTGGTACCAATTTCTTTCCTGGTTCCTGCAGATTGCAATAACAAATGGCTTATAAACCACTGGGTGGTTAATAAACAACAGTTTGTTTCCACGATCTGGATGCTGAGAGGTCCAAGGTCAAGGTACTGGCCCTGTCTGGGAGAGCTGGCCTCCAGGTTCATAGCCACTGTCCCTGGCTGTGTCTTCACATGGAGAAGGGGTCATGGAGCCCTGCAGTCTCTTTCATAAGGGCATTAACCCCATCACGAGAGCTTTACCCTAGTGACCTAACAACCCCAAAAAGGTCCAACTTCCAAATACTATTACACAGGAGAGTAGTTTTCAATATATGAAGGAGGGGGACACATATATTCAGTCAATAGCACCCACACACGAAAGATGATCAAGTCTGGGAGCTGCCCAGGCCCTTAGCCTTCACTTATTTCTCTTCACCCCTGCTGACTGTGGGTCTGCTAGACTTAAGCAGCCTGCTAACTTAAGCGGCCTGTTCAGCCACCATTATGGTTACCTGCAGTTCAGCATTCCTATACAGGGTCAGAACTGTCCAGTCACAGTCATAGGAGCCAAACCTTACAAGGTGCCTTTCATATCAATCAAAAGCAGAGAGCCTGATCACCCTGGAAGGGTGTGCATCATGAGGTATGACCGGGAGCGCCCGGGGGGCCGAGGACTGATGTATGACAAGGGACCCCAGAAGCTGACCAGTGGAACGCCTTGTTGATAAGATTAGGACCACAGCAGGGGGTCTGGGGTCCAGTTTCTATGACAACACTTGGTCATCAAGCTGATAACATGGTCAGCAGACTCATTGTCCCCCAAGCCCTAGATGACTTTCCTGAGTGTCACCATCCTTTCTCCTTGTCCTCCTAACACACGTAGCTGATGCTCTATGATTGTTCTATCAATAAAAACAGCCAGGATCTTGCTCTCAGCAGCATCTTGCCTTGTGCAGCGTGCTCCACGACACCTGTGTCTTCGTCAGTGTGGTGTTGCCCAACGCAATAGCTGATGACTGATTCTCTGCAGAAAGACTGGCCAAATCAGGGTCCTGAGTCCCCAGGGTGGACAGAGAAGTGCTGGGAGTGGTCCCATCTAGCATTCGCTATAAATCAATACCTGCACCCCATCCTTCCATCAAAGTCACATTTGCTGTGACTCCCAGACACCTGCAGGACCTTTTCCAAGATATCTGCCTTTTTTTCCTTATACACCTGCAGACTGGGCTACAAATCGTCTCCTCGACTTAGCCCACTTGGGCAGCCACTCCAGGGGCTCAGGACCCTGGCTCTGCAGGTGCCTGTGACATCACCAGCTGCCCATAGTCCCCTGTGACCTCACTACCTAGACACCCAGGGAGCCCATGGCCACTTCCCCAACAGCACAAGTGGCAGAGGGCCCCAATGACCACCATACCCTCAGGAGAGGCCAGCACTCCCACATATGGTGATGTGGCCAACGGCAGGTCTACAGGCAGCCAGACAGCGGAGTCCCAAACTCAGGTCCTCGCAGGTGGACCGGAGGCCAGCTCAGCTGCACAGCAGCATGGAGGTCTGGACTCTGAAGAGCTAGTCACGTTCCAGAATGCATCAACCTGTGAGGGCACATCAGATCATGAAGACAGGTCAGCCCATGAGACATCAGCACGTAAGGGCTCATCATCCCATAAAGGCAGATCAGGTCATAAGGAGACACTAACCCATGAGGACATATCAGCCTATACAGACGCATCAGACCATGAGGACACACCAGCTCCTGAGGTCACATCAGCCCATGGGGTCCCGCTAGCTCCTAAGGACACGTCAGCCCATGAGGACATGCCAGTTTCTGAGTACATACCAGCTCCTGTGTACACATCAGACTATTCAGACATGACAGCTCCTGAGGTCCCACCAGCTTCTGAGTACGAGTCAGCCTATATGGACATGCCAGCTCCTAAGGACACATCGGCTCACAAGGACATGCCAGCTCCTAAGGACACATCAGCTCCTGTGTGCACATCAGACTATTCAGACACATCAGCCTATATGTACACGGCAGCTCCTGAGGTCCCACCAGCTCCTGAGGTCACATCAGCCCATGAGATCCCGCCAGCTCCTAAGGACACATTAGACCATTCATGCACGTCAGCTTATTCGGACATGTCAGCCTACACAGACACGCCAGCTCCTGAGGTCCCACCAGCTCCTCAGAACACGTCAGCCTATTCGGACATGTCAGCCTACACAGACACGCCAGCTCCTGAGGTCCCACCAGCTCCTCAGAACACGTCAGCCTATTTGGACATGTCAGCCTACACAGACACGCCAGCTCCTGAGGTCCCACCAGCTCCTCAGAACACGCCAGCCTATTCGGACATGTCAGCCTACACGGACACGCCAGCTCCTGAGGTCCCACCAGCTCCTCAGAACACGTCAGCCTATTCAGACATGTCAGCCTACAAGGACACGCCAGCTCCTGAGGTCCCACCAGCTCCTCAGAACACGTCAGCCTATTCAGACATGTCAGCCTACATGGACGCGCCAGCTCCTAAGGACACATCAGCCCATGAGGACAAGGATGAGCATGAAGCTGCTGCAGGACTCAGCCAGCAGCTGGAGGCCCTGCCTGTCCCAGACACGCTGCAGCTGCCCCTGAGTCTCCAGAACCTGGGGCAGGACAGGTTGGGGCAAGATTCCAGGCAGGGGTCTGAGACTTTGAGACATGACTCCCTAGTTAAGGAGGAGACACATGCAGGGGGTGTCCTGGACAGTGAGCCAGACTTAGCTACCCCAAGTGCTGAGGCACTGTCACCCCAGAATATAGAGGCCCAGTCCACTGGGAGCATGGGCGACACCCACAAGCAGGTTGACACTGAGGCTGCCGGCACCCCTGAGGCCCTTGGGGAGAAAACTGCCCCCGATGCTGAAGTTCTGCCATCAGATGAACCCCAGGGAGTGCCAGAGGGGGAGGCTGCCTCAGGAGACCAGCAGGCTCCACCCTGCCCCCACTCCCCAGGGGGCAGCGCCCCTGGCTCACCTGTCCCCCACATGGTGGCCCTGCACAGAAGGTCCATGGACTCCAGCCTGGACCTGGCCAACGAGGAGAACGACTACATGCGCTCCATGACCAGCCTGCTGGGCGGAGGCGAGGGCGCCATCAGCTCCCTGACCGACATCCTGGTGTGGTCCGAGTCCGGCATAGGTATGGCCACGGGCCTCCTGGCCTCTGACCACAGCCATGTCACGGACATGCTGCACAGAACGGGGCCCAGCCTGCGCTCAGTCTCCAGCATCCTGGGCCATGTCCGTGCAGCCTTCTCCTCCCGCCTGGTCGGGGGGACTGGCTCAGCCCTGCACTCCGTCACCCACATGCTGGAGGCAGTAGAGCGCAGAACGATGGAGGGCATCCGCTCGGCCGTGCGCTACCTGACCAGCCACCTCACCCCACGCCGGGCCCGGGCCTACCCCAGCGGGGAATAGAGGCCTCACAGGACCCCCCAAAGGCCTGACTCAACAGCTTCCCGAGACCCTTGGGCCCTTGGGCCCTGCTCCCTTTCCCACCCCTGGCCTGGCTGGCTCTCCCCAGACCAGGCAATAAACTACCAGCGAGCGTTTATTTTCTAAGCGCCAGCCTCATCCCTGGTCCGTGCGGTGGGCACAGGGTGGGGTGCGGGAGGAGGCGAAGGTGTTTGGAAGCAGAAAGGAGGCACTGTTCAGGGTCTGAGGGCAGAAGGAGAATTGAGCATGGCTGGGGATTCAGGCACAGAGGACTCAGATCTGCAGAAATCTTTCCAGGATCAACCCCCAGCCAAGCAAGCACAACCCAAAGGACACTGGCCCTTCCCAGGCCTACTGGCCCAGCAGGCTCCGGCCACGCCGCTGAGGGTCTCAGAGCCTGGGGTCAAGAGCACACAGCCAGATTGATATGGGTTCAAACCCTATTGCTCACCCACACACACCTCCCCACCCCTCACCCCAGCTTCTGACTCACCTGTTGAAGGGATTACCAGTCTACAGGGGGTACCGGCTCAGGGACTAATGCAGGTTGTCTGGAACTCTCGAGCTCGCACACCGCAGCTGCCGTTACCATTACCCTGCAGCCAGGAAACCACACCAAACCGTCCCGAACCTAAGGGGTTCCTGAGATTTTGAGATGGAAAAGAGAAAAACCCCAGACACACCAGGACGAGTTGGCGGCCTCAGACCTAGGTAGGCCTCTTTACACGGTTGTTACTTTTGCCTGTGACTCTGTCCCCCCTGAAAGGGAGCCACTGCTTGGAAAGCCACCAGCTGCCCTCCAGCTGGACACAGTGCCCAGTCCTGAGGCTCGGGGAGTGAAGCTCCAAATCTCGCCCTGGCAGAGCCCCTGACACAGGTGGCACCCCGTCCGTCTTAATGCCGCAGCCCCATACATGGATTCACTCATTTATCCATCCCTCCTCCCCAGCAGCCTCCAAACGGGAGCCCGTGACCAAAATCAGCCCGCTGTTGGGTCTGTTCACTCTACATCATGTTTTTCAAATTGTAAATTAAAGGCTAACTTTTAAAAATGGGGATAAGGTCCTCCCTAGTGGCGCAAGGGGTTAAGTGTTAGCACTATGAAGCAATGTGCAATTATTGCAGCATGAGTTCGATCCCCGGGCAGGGAGCTACCCACATGGCGCGGCAGACCTCTCCTGTCTCGCCCACTGCTCCTGTCAGCAGTTTATTTCAGTCAGTCTGCCTGTTCTGCTCCCCACTCTGTCTCTGGTGAATCCTCTCACCCCCTGTACCTCTGGCCTGTACCTCAGTTCTTGAATGTATAAATAAGTAAATAAATAAATAAATCTTTAAAAAAAGAGAGAGAGAGAGCTGGTGTCCCCCCACCCCGAGGCAAGAACAAGGCAGGTGTGATGGGTGCTGTGGGACAAGGGTGCTGCCAGACACCTCAACATGAGAGGAGCCCAGGCAGAGAATGGGTGATAGACAGTAAACTGTGCTCACACATGCTTCCAACAAATATTTTCTGAACCAGCCACTAAATGCCAGGCACTCCTCGAGACAGACCACAAAAGTGAGCAGAAGACTGGGACAGGCAGAGCAAGGGCAGACGGGACGCGCAAGGGGGATCACCAGGTAGCACAAGTGCCAAGTGAGGGTTGACCCGGAGCTCTGTCTGCCCTTCCAGCCCGGCCCCCTGTTCTGGCTCCATTCTCAGGTGGCCCAGTCACCTTCCTGGAAAGAGAGACGCCCTTGTTCCCACTGGCTCTGGCAGGAAAGTCCCCGGGGAGGATGCTGCCGGGCCTGGCTTAGCTCCCATGCTCTGTCCTGAACCCACCACTGAGGCCACAGCAATGTAATGCCTGGTTACCTGGTCTGGGCCTCATGCCTGCTCTGGGGCCAGCAGCAGCCCAACATTGGGAGTCACCACAGGATGTGCTGCTGGACCAGCACCATCTTGTCAAGGCCCGTAGAATTTGGTGGAACATGACCTTGGTGTCCAGTCCACGTAGGGAATCCCAGCCCCACTGGCTGCTGCTCTCATCACCCTGTGCATCACTTTCCTCACCTGTAAAATGACAACAGACTTTACCTGTGGCATCAGGCTACTGTGAGGATTCGGAGAGTCGAACACTTAAAACAGCCTGGCACATCGTTGGATGTTAGCCGTGATGGTTATTAGCACAGAAGCTTTCCAGGGGGCCACGGGACTAGCTCCCTGCTTTCTCCCAGCCTTCCCCTTGCTGTGGGGTCACAGATGTGTTGGCAGATCTGCCTGGCGACACATCTTCTATGCAGGTGGGATGCCCCCCATACCCCCAGGCGTAGAGGCACCAGCGCGCCTGGGGAGGAGGTCAGGGCAGCATTGGGCTGAGGAGTCTGTGGCAGTGAGAGGACGAAGCTTTGGATCAGACAGCTAGTGCAGAAGAGGCCTCAGGCAGGAGTCCGGAAAGGCCCCAACTCACGGGAAGAGGAAGCTGTTTATCAGACACGGAGTCAGCAAGCAGGAGAGATCCAGGCCACCCAGGCTCACGGGCCACTGGACCAGAGAGCTGACAACCGGACACTGTGGGGAGAGGTAGGACAGCGGTGGTGTGTAAGGGATAAAGAATGAGCATAGTCAGAACAGCCGGGAGGCTGTGTGGAGGGTGCCCTTTGTTACGGAGAGCCGCGACATGACAGAGCACTAAATTCACCCCTCCGGCACCGGGGACCTGGTCCGGCTAAGGTTAACGCCCAACAACCAGCCTTTCTCTAGGACCCTCAACCAACTTTTCAGATGTGTCCTGCACAGAGATGGGCCAGGAACCAAGGATCCTGGCTTCCACAAACTTTTGGGCTGGGCCAGGAGCAGGGGGAGGGCGAGGCACTTAACATAAGTCTAGCAGGGGTGACTAAGAGAAGGACAAGTCCTGGCAGATGACAGAAGGCACAGTGGCCTCCGCCCTGTGGTTCTGTAGACACTGAGATGGGCCCTAAGGCCCCTGCCATGAAGCACTTGTTGCCCATGTACAAGTACAGGGGCCGACCAAGGTGGAGAGAGCCCGAGGCGGGCCCTGGGACAGCCTGACTCAGTGACAGGAAATTCCTGAGGCACTTTTGTCCAACCAGAGGCTTTTTTGTTCCATCTAAGATGGGTGTGTATGTGTGTGTGTGTGTGTGTGTGTGTGTGTGTGTTGAGGGCTGGGGGAGGCTACACATCCAAACAACAGAAAAAAATTGCCTTTTTTTAAGAATCCTTGTTGTAAGGCTTTACACATTTGAGATCATTTATGGTTAACAAAAAACCTGAGTCTTTGAAAATGGTTTTTGTTGTTGTTTTGTGAAGACAACGTTCTGGTTTAGCCCATGGTCACTTGGCGAGCTGGTTAATGTGCCGGTGTGATATGGTCAAGGGGATGGGTTTGGCTGAGGAGGCAGGAGACTGCCCCCAGAGGGAAAGAGATAAATAGTAAAGGTAAAGTAAGGTTTTAGGTGCGTGTTTAAATATTTAAATGAAGACTGACTCCCTTCTGAGGAAGTCCTATTCCTTAGGTCACCCAGATCCTCAACTTGGAGTCCCTAAGAATGGGGCGAGAAGGCGCCTGTGCTGGCGTCCCTCTGCTGGAGAGAAGGCACCACTGCCCTGCCCCAGAAGGGCCCAAGACCGCAGTCCAGCCAAGCAAGGACACTGGGGGCTTGAGGGACAACTGTGACAGAAGTGGGGGTTAAAACTGTCTCTACTCACAATACTACTCACACCAAATACGTGCGTTTTTCGAGCGAAACAATTCTCCAAGTCTCTGGGCACACCTCCCGGGTGTCCTACAATTCAATTCTGACACTAACCACTCAGAGTCAGCGCAGACCCCACAGTTTAAGGGCTGAGCCCCACAAGACTGCCCCCATTCAGACATGCAAATAGTGGGTCCTCAGGTCACCCACACTTCAAATCAGAGGTCCCTACAACTCCTTCCTCAGATAACTTGCTGTATAACGACACACAGAACTGAGGGAAATACTTTACTAGTACTGGTTTATCATAAAGGATACAAATGATCAGTCAGAAGAAGAGGTAACACAGGCAAGGTCTGCCAGGCCCTGGGCATGGGAACTTGTCCCCTGGAGTTGGGGTGCACCCCTCTCCCCGCCCAGGAATGCCTTCCCCAACCTGGAAAGAACTGAGGGGAACAACTGAACCCTGTTGTTTATGTTCCCCACACCAACAAGCAATTCTTGGGCTCCAGGAGGGTGTCCGAGAATTCAGCTCAATTCTGACACTGTCTCCCCAGAAATAGCATCAGACTCCATAGATTAAGGGCTCAGTCTCCAAAGACCATCTTCCCTTTCAGATGGGGCTGCCAGCCCATACATAATTCTAACCAACCAACTATAGATCAGGGGCCCCCACGACCCCCTCCTCAGACTTAAGTTGCCTGTCCTGGATTATCTGTGTTTCTAGCTGCCTGGCTATCAGTCAAAAGTTCCCATGACACCCACATCAGATTCGATTAAATTGCTAGAACAGGAAGCCCATTCACTCACTAGACTTACTTATTACAAAGAACACTGTTGATAGAAGTCAGCAGGACAAGGACATGTATAGGGAAAGGCATGGAGCTTCTAGGCCCCCTCCAGTCACCCCATGCGCCCCCAAATCTTCCTACCCACCTACCTGGGAGCTCCCCTATAGGCTTTTTTGGAGGCTTCATTACATAGCCACAAGTGATTAAATCACTGGCCACTGGCAATTGAATTCCACCTGAAAGCTCTCCCTGGAAATGTCCCACCCTCTATTCTAGTTGGGTTCCCTAGCAACCAGCCCCCTCCACCCCCCCACCCCCGCCAGGTGTTTTCCAAAAGTTATCTTCATTAACATAGATCCTTCTAGAAAACAAGACACCCATTTAAACTTTTATGGTTCTGAAGGTTTCTCAGAAACTGAGGATAAGAGACCAAATATTATGATAAAAGATGCCTTTATTGCTCTAAAGACTCAGGAAATTCCAAGTTCTGGAGCACTGTGGATGAAAACCAAGTAAGTATATGAAACAGAGCTTGGCTATCAAATAACCAATATATATTTCCTGTAAATCGCAGTATCCGCATTGACAGATGTCATTTTTCCCTCTTCCATGGGACAGTCTG